CTACACCCCAGCCTCATATCTAAGCATGAATAGAACAAGTTTGATTGTATATGATAAAAAAGGATAGTTACAAGAGTGTGCCAGTGCTTTAGTAATCTAATGCTCAATAGTGGTTCCTGGTCGCGAAAATGTTTGAGAATGAAAGGCGTCAGGATAAATGATACATGTGAGGATGAGAGAGTAGGCCGAAGAAATTATGACTCGGCCAGCAATATGTGTCTGCCCTGTATAATATAACAATAGATTAGGACCATCTACTGTCTCATGGCTTGGCTTCCCGGCTATGCTCCTTGTTCCTCTGATGGCAGACGTTATTTTCGGTCATATTTCTGGCCTTTTTTTAGGTTTCTAGAAGTTCATAGGTCCACCGACCGCGACTTCGGTCCTCTTATGTGTCTTGTGTCTTCTTGTTCGGTAGATTCTTGTAAAAATACAATAATTCGTTTCCATTTGTTTTGCCTTCTCATTTAGCCGCTTCTTTGGATAGATTACGCAATTAGGTGAAGTCGGAGATGTTGGCGAGGCCACACGTGTCCCAAGCCGCTGCCTCAGTCAGGTGCTCCACTCGTGCTCCCTCTTACCAACCCAAACTCGTGGCCTTGCCTGCGCGCGTCACCTCCGCTCTAGCGGCGACGAGACCATCAGCCCAAATTGCTTCCTCTACATTGGGCTCCCCTCCGTCGCACGTCAACTACCACCCTCGCGCATGCCTAGTAGTAGCAGCCACCGCCACTCCAGTGCCGAGTCATGTCGACGTTGCTCGCTTGCCAGGCGGTGACCACCCCCATACGAGGCACTCAGGTATGTATTAATTTTCATCAACCACAAGCACCAGCTTTTCACCGCTCAAATCGTGAAAGAGCGCGACAAGCAATCACTTGGACCGTCATGGTCGTCGTTGTTTCATCCCGGGTAGCCGAGAGGCCAAAGGCATACATGGTGGTCAACCGGAGTTGGTTCGGAGGGCTCTGCTGCGCGGGCCTCCTTGCGAGTATCTTGAAAGAAAATATTTCTCAAGAAATTTAGATAAAAAGTATCCTCCGTAACCGAATATTCATTTTTTTAGCCTAGACTCGTCTGCACCTGGTGAACAGTATTATAACTATGATGCGTACACATTATTATAACTGTGATGTGTGAAATAAATCAATTTCAGATCACTGACCTACACAATAAATAGTGTCCGACTCATCTTCGCTCTCACGATACAGGGGGTACATTATTTCTTCACCCACTTTCCTACCCATATTAACATCACTCGCCTATATAAACCCTCCACTTGTTTGATTGTGAATTTCATATTCTAGACTCGACGCTTAACCTTAGCATGAATTCAATATGTTCTCTTACACAACACAAAATTAGATGATTAGCTACCATAGTGTAACAATGTTATATATACATTTAATGCTTAAAATAGCGGTTCCGGTCAAGAACATGCTGAAGAGCTCTGAGAATGAAAGTGGAAGGCACCGGGATAAATCATATGTTGGAGGGTGAGAAAGTGGGCCAAAGAAATGACAACTCGTCCTGAAGTATCTTCTCATATTGTATGATATTACGATATGTTAGGATCATCGGTAGACTCGTGCCTTGGCTTCTTTACAGTGCTCCTAGTTGCACTCAAGACGCCTGTACACCATGACACAAACCATCATTATGCCGCGATATTTTATGTCATGTTTGTGGCCTTTATTTTAGGCTTAACATAGGTCGGCCGAACTTACGATGACGCAGAGCTGATCTGGGTAGCCCTAGTGGTCTTCGCGCCAAGTCACCATTGCACCTTTGATTAGACCTCTTTGATCTGGCCATCGGCGAGTTTCGGACTTCTCCTTCGAAGGAAACCAATGGCTGACGTATATAGTGTTTTTTGGACATCTTGTTTGGATTGGGGCCGGTCGTGTGCACCCGCAATATCAGCATAACCAGCTTCAGCGGAGTATACGAAGCTCTGTTTTTGTTGACACCTTGGGACATGTCTGCATCAAGATTTCCAAAGGATCACCACATGCAGAGAATGTCATGGCATGATTGGAGGGCCTACAAGCAGCGATGTCTGGGTCGCAGACGATGAAGACTTTGCTTCACTGGCAGTTGTTCAGACCTGGCTTGTGGGATATGTTTCCGTCCAGACCGTACACGAGTTCCTACGAGTCTGGTGGTACATGACTTGTAGTAATAGCCTTGACAAGTGGGGGCGGCAGCATTGGAGGATTTCATTGTTGGTGGTGCTCCTTTGAGTATCGAGTCGTGCTTTTCAAGGTGAAAACCCAAGGTCTGGCCTTTATTGATTGTGCATGGCAGTGGCGTTGCTGAAGGCATTGTTTTCAGGGTGAAAACATACGGTCTTTGATTGTGCAACGACAACACTTGTGCATTGTTTCCTTTATGGAGGTGTTGTTTTTTAAGAACCTTCTTCATAGTACTTGGTATCTAGTTAATATTAATATATTTCGCTTTTCAAAAAACGTCCGCCCAATGTGACTTCATTCCATTTATGTTTCTTTTTTTGAACATCATTATATACGCAAGCACTCATACATACGCGCGTACACTCATCCCTATGCGCGAACGTCTCCGCCCATCGAAAACGCATCGCCGGAAATACTGAAAGAAATATAGGAATAATGCGAGCACCAGGACTTAAACCCTGATGCGCTGGGATACCACTATCCCTCTAACCATCCAGCCACCGGTTGGTTAATTTTTGTGATGCCTTGTTAACTGGCTTCTTAAGAGCATCTCCAACAGGCGCGCTAAACAAGTGTCGCGCCGCATATTTACTCATTTTAGCGCGCGCGCAATCGCTAGTGTGTCTCTAGCGGGCGCGCAATAACCGCTCGTGCGGCATACAGAGTTGGATGCGCGGTCCGAATCGATATCGCGCATTATCTATTTGGGGCGCCCGATTCCACACGTGGCACACACGAGCGCTCGCGCCGCACTCTCTCCCCGGCGCCACCTTCGCCCCACACGCGCCGGCGCCGGCGAGCTGACCCGATGGACGCGCGCGCCGGCACTCCCCTCACCCCATCCTATAGCCGCGAACCCTCCAACGCCGCCGCCGCCGCCGCAAACCCTAGCGCTGGGAGCATTGGCCACGCCTCCGCCGGAGCTCCTCCGAGCATCGGCCTCGCGCGCTGCCTTTTCATGCCGCCGCGGATGACCTCGGCGGCTGGTGGCGTCGCGCCGGCGCCTGCCGTGATGAAGAACAAGGGTGCACCTCCGGGCGCCGGTGTGCCACCTTCGCATGAAAATGCCGTTGAAGATCTTGGCAACACCTTCTGAGTTTCACATGATGAGGATACGGCGCACAACAATGAAGAGGAGGAGGAAGAATCGTCTTCGGAGGAGTCGGATGAATCGGAGGAAGAGGATGAAGACGAAGACGGGGACGAGGACGAGGCTTGATTCTTGTGCCTTTCGTTTGTGTCATCATAAACTTGGTTTGCATGTTGAACTTGATTTAATTATGTTGTGGACATGAATTTGAACTTGTGGGCATGAACTTTTGGGCACGAACTTGGTTGGAATGATGTTTGTGATTCAATATATGCCATGTGTTTTGTGTTGATGTGTGAAATTTATGCCCAAATGTGAAAAAATGTGTGCGCCGGCTGCTCGCTCGAGCAGCGAGCGCTGCATTTTAGCGCTACTGCTGGAGCAAGCGCTGCGCGACGCGCCAAACCTGGCAATGTGCGTGTCGCAAATCAAATTTTAGCGCGCCGCGCGTTGGGCGCCTGTTCGCTAGCGTGCCCCACATCCACCTCGTCCTCCTCAACCTCCTCCTCATCGTCCTCCTCCGAATCCACTGCATCTGGAGGTAGCCCGCGGCGATCCGGCCTTTGCGCCTAGCCCAGATCTGCGCAAGTAGCTCGAGCCGGCGCTCTGGCGTCAGAAATGGCAGGCTCGTCACCTGGCGGCGGTTGGGCATGGCTACTAGGCGGATGGGTGGAGTGGAGTGTCGCGGCAGACAGGCAGAGGAAAACATGGATGGATGGTAGGGTTTCGGTGCCGCCAGTCGACTTAAGTTGCTGGGCTAGGCACTACGCGGCCCACCAGAGTGGCGCCACGGGTTCAACAGAGAGTCAAGCTTCGGACCGCTGGGTTTTCAGACGTTTCCGCGTGAAACCCCACTGTCAGTCTGACGTGGGGGGCGTGCCCGGGCGCCCCCATATCCACCCCATATTTGGGCTGGATATGAGGGGTGCCGGTCAGCCCAGGCGTTTGAGGCATGTTTGAGGCGTCCGTCTGGGTCGAAAAATCGTGACCGATCAGTTACCGGGTGGGCCGCCCGGGCGTTTGAGGAGAGTTTGAGGCGCCCGACTATAGATGCTCTTACACTTTTGCACAACAGTGTTCGATATCATTTGCCCCTCAAGACATATATGTATATCCCATTTAGATGAAATGCACAACTCAAGTATGTTCTTCAAAGTCTTCTTGCTATGAAATTTCGTTGGTGGCAGTCTGGGGCATCTTGATGAACAGAAATCTTCTTGTTTTCAAAAATGAAAGACCATGAATTGAGATTCTACTTGTTGAAGATCGCGCATATGACTTCACCATGCCGCTTCAAATCATCTGTCTGAGAATGCAATTCCATTGTCTAAAATGCTTTCCATGATTGGATTCAGGTGGTCCTTTTTGGAACAAGTATGTCCTGTCTTTAAGCACTTGTTTCGTTTGACTACCCCCGTATCAGTAGAACACAAATTATTGTATAGGAGGTTACAGAAAACAAATCTCTTTCTAAAAATACCAACTACCCATGAATTCAAAGGACACCACGAGACAATATGTTGTAGTATGTGGAACGAGACCTAAAGATACAAGTCTACAACTACGTCCACAACCAAGATCCGAGTTTATTTACTTGTGTGCTACCTTCCGAATCACAACTTCATATAGTACATTACAAACCACAATATCCATCTTGTCTTTTTATTTCTTGGCAGAACATAGAAATTATTTCTTAAAGATGACATGAATAGATATTACATGTCATTTGTTTCATCATCCACCAGGTTCTGCACTATCAGGGGAAGCCCATACCTAGGCACCAGTGTGATGTAGTACATGGGCATGTGAACATACCGAGAAGAGAGGGAGAAGGAGAACCTTCTCAGGACCATAGCCATCACAGTCTGCACCTGGACCATGGCATAACTCCTCCCAGGGCACCCGCGTGGCCCGTATGAGAAGGCCCACAACGTGTGCATGTTCTTAGCAGCCCTCGAGATGCCTTTCTCAAACCTCATGGGGTTGAACTCGTCCACGTCGAGGCCCCAGATTTCCTTGCACCGGTGCAACATCATGACCGGAATTGTTATCATGGTTCCTTTTGGCACTTTGATGTTTGCTAATGTGGTGTCATAGGCGGTCTTCCTCATCAGGAACGGCACAGGGCTATAGAGCCTCAGCGTCTCGAGGAGGAACATGTTAAGCTGCATTGGAGTACACAAAGTGATCAGAGAACTTATACGACCAGAGTCAATGAATTACATGTTAGATGAGACTTCTGAACATACTAGCTTCAGTTTACCGAGGACGTCGATGCTCGGGGCCTCGCTGTCATCCTGACATTCTCGTAGCACCTCCTCCCTGATCTTCTCTTGCCATTCTGGATAGTTGCTAAGCAGGAACATCCCCCAGGTGAGGAGGCTGGCACCTGTGTCCTGCCCTGCAGCGAACAAGGTCTTGCACTCACCGACCATCTCCTCAGTGCTCAGTGGCTCGACTTCTTTGGACATGTAGGCCTCCAACATCAGCCGGAGTAGGTCGTCTCCGGAGACACCTCTAACAAACCGTGTCTTTATGAGATGTGTTATCTTCCTTGTTGCCAACTTGTTGATTTTCCATAATTGGAAGTTACGGCGAGTCGGAAGGTATCTATATATATGGAGAAAATATTAGATAAACCGGTTCGATCGGGATTATGTCCAGTCCAATGTTTAACACGTACATCCGTTTTACAAAATCAAACATATATACTCCCTTGTTTCATAATTTTTGTCGTGGTTTTAGTTTAAATTATATTTAATTATTCAAAATTAAAACTAAGAAGACACTATTATGTACCTAAAACCAGGTATTGGAGGATCCGCAAACGCATATACCGCGAGCTTCTGGCCCTCCTTGCCAGCGATGAACACCTCCCGAGCTTCTTTACAGTTCTCGCCGAAGATCACCCGTTCAATGACGGCTAAAGTCAAATTGTCAGAGTAGCACCTCATGTCTATCTCGGCTTGGTGGTCATTCATCTCTTCTATTTGGGTGCACCATTGCTCAATCATCTTTTGGGTGTCTTCTGATGTCATAGCTGACACCGACTATGCATTGGGTAAAAAAAACAAAATTTACGCTATGTAATTAGCCCAGCAAAATAAATAAACCAAAATAAACTACACCCTTTGCTGGGGCTTATAACTCTCACAAGCGTTTTAATAACATATGTAGGTTATTAATTTGATCAACAAAATATAATTTATATTCTGCAAAAAGTACTATATATGATTGAAATTTTTTCTTGAACGTGCTAATATTTGTTGACTAAGTTAATGCATGGTCAGAGCTTTTATTGAAATGTGTGCGAGACTTATGAACCCTTTTTTTTTGGCATGGACGAGACTTATAAACTTGACCGGATGGAGTAGCACATATTGTATTTGTAGTTCAACGAGACAACAACCTTGAGTTTCTCCTGGCTAAAAATCGGGTATACGATTCTACGATGCCGCTTCCATTCATCACCGTTCGTGGTTAGCAGTCCTTTGCCGAAGATCATTTCCATGCTCGGATTTAGGTAGTCCTTTTGGAACAAGTTTGTCCTGTCATCCAGCACTTGCTTGACTAGCTCTGTATCAGTAGAACATATTGCCGGTATTGGCCCCAACCAATACAGAAATGTTTTCCCTGAATACGTACTCGGACATATCAGTTTAAAAAATAACTGCATATATATGGGGATCTACTTAATAATTAAATTATAGCATATGAACAACCCGGAACATTTCATGCATTTACCGTAATCGGAGGTCCATTTGTGAAAGAAGGGACTGACACGGGAGGTGTAGTCGTGGTTACCGATATCCAGAGCCCCCTTTGCTCTCCGGGCAACCAACATCTGTTTGATATCCCACAAGGACCCAACGACGAGTTTGTAAGGTGGCCCTCGTATCCCCTGCTGCTCAAACCGCCGAGTGACGGAGTACGGCCTCCACACCAGATACCACAGGGCCCTCGAGATCAGCAAAAGCACGACGATGGCGATCAGGGTCTGTACCACGGTGGCGTCCATGAAAGTATTTGTTCGAGTTAGCTCGTGGGTGCGTGGTTATGCTTCTACTTGGTTTGTTCCAGTTGGGTTGTGGGTCGTTATTATATAGCTACACTAGCTAGGCAGGCAGCTGGGAGCATGTGTGTCAGTTCACAAAAAAAAAAGGATCGTGTGTCACTGTCTCAGCGTTTCCTGTTGGTTGTTGTGAAGTTACGATTGTTCTGTTGCAATTTCACGCCATACTTGCACATTCAAAGGTCCATGTTCCACAATGCATGCATCATGTGTCTCATTGTTCTACTTGAGAGAAAACAATCCGAACAGGAAGAAATCATGTCTATACAATGTGTCTCTATTTGCTTTACGTACTCACAGTTATTCTTGTATGTTTATCGTCTACGCACATCACGATGTTATCGACAGCCACACACACCAATGGGAATATGGGATCAGACTCATTTGCGAAGGTATTTTGACACCTTATCTTGCAGTATGAGCCTCTACCGCCATGTTTTCTCATGTCGTCCCATCAGAAAAAGAACAAAAAATGGATTCCGGTTTTGATCTCAGGTTACTTTTTTTTTTTGGAATTCTGTTTTGCATCTAGGTTTGCGTTTCAGTTTTTTCGCTGAATTGATTCAAAATTTTCGGCTTCTTCGGAAATATCTACCTCCCCACCCCTCCTCCCCCTTAACAAAAACCACATTTCTCCTGTTTCCATCTTCATTTTCAAGTTGAAATCTTCACTCCTTACTTGCAGCGCCAACTATTGCTTCTACAACTATCACTACCGCATACTGATAGTAAAGCAATTACATGGCGTTTGCATTTCATACAATAAAGAGACAACCATAAGGCTCCTGCCAGTTGCCGATAACTTTTACAAAATATGATCATCTCATACAATAACATATATCACATCATGTCTTGACCATATCACATCACAACATGCCCTGCAAAAACAAGTTGGACGTTGTCGGTGTCAAAACCGGCGGATCTTGGGTAGGGGGTCCCGAACTGTGCGTCTAGGCGGATGGTAACAGGAGACGAGGGACACGATGTTTTACCCAGGTTCGGACCCTCTTGATGGAGGTAAAACTCTACGTCCTGCTTGATTAATATTGATGATGTGTGTTACAAGAGTGGATCTACCACGAGATCAAGGAGGCTAAACCCTAGAAGCTAGTCTATGGTATGATTGTTGTCCGTCCTATGGACTAAAGCCATCCGGTTTATATAGACACCAGAGAGGGCTAGGGTTACACGAAGTCGGTTACAATGGTAGGAGATCTACATATCCATATCGCCAAGCTTGCCTTCCACGCCAAGGAAAGTCCCATCCGGACACGGGACGAAGTCTTCAATCTTCTATCTTCATAGTCCTGGAGTCCGGCCGATGATGATAGTTCGGCTATCTGGACACCCCCTAGTCCGGGACTCCCTCAGTAGCCCCCGAACCGGGCTTCAGCGACGACGAGTCCGGCGCGTATATTGTCTTCGGCGTTGCAAGGCGGGTTCTCCTTCAAACTTCATGTTCCGGTCGAATAGTGTCCGGCTTCCTTATAAACGTTGCGCTCCTTGGCTTCTGCGCCCAATAATGACCTTCTTCCACGTGTCGTATGAATGCGAAAAGCTAGGGTATTTTTACATTTCTCCCCCCAGCCGTGCGAACGAGCCGCGTATAAGAGAGGCGAGGATCTAGATCCAACTCACACCATCCTCCTTCCGCAAGTACTCATCGAAGCGCCTCTGACAAAAATCCACTCTATCATGGACAGTCGACACGGCTCCTCCTCTCGCGCTCCCAGCCCTAAGCCAGGAGATTGGGGGAGATGCTCAGTTCCACACAGCGAGCTAGTGGCGCTCCAAACCGAGGGATATCTTCCCCCAGCCTTCATGGTTCCGGTTCGGGCCGGATTGGCCACCTTCCGGGGTGGAAAGCAGGCGGAGAGCGTTCCCAACCCCTCCAAAGGGGAGCGGGTATGCTTCGTCCCTTATTTAATAAGGGGACTTGGATTTCCCATACATCCGTTTCTCCGGGGGGCTCCTGGAGTTCTACGGACTCCAGCTTCACCACCTTACACCTGCCTCCATTTTGCACATCGCGGGCTTTGTAGCTCTTTGCGAGCTGTTCCTGGGCATCGAGCCCCATTTTGCACTGTGGAAGAGATTGTTTTGCCTCGTACCCCGTTCTCACGAGGGGTCGATATATCAAGTGGGCGGAGCCGAAATATGGCGCATCGCCGGGACCGGATATCCATCCGGCACCCCGAAGAAGGCGTCCGAAGATTGGCCTTCGGAATGGTTCTATATGGAGGACGCTCCTCTGCCGGATCCAGTTCGGATTGGCCTCCCGGAGTTCAGCAATGCCCCCTTGAAGAAACGCCTGAGTTGGCGCCCACAGAGCCCTCAACGGGAGGATGATGGGAGCGTCCATTATCTGATGGGCCGGATTAGGTTATTGGCCCACTCCGGATTCACCATGATTGGAATCATGGCCACGTGCATTATGCGAGGGGTGCAGCCACTCCAATATAGGGGCCACCCTATGTGGGATTTCAACGGGGAAGATGACGCCACCCGTCATGGCCGTAAAGGGCCGAGCTCGGCAGCCGATCTGGCTAAGATCCTGTCCGGCTTGTACAAGGGGGAGGAGGAGGACTTTCTCCGCATGAATCCATTGAATGGATTCTCCATGAATAACCCTCAGAGCTGGGTAAGCGGACGTTTTATCTACCTGATCCATACTTCCAAAGTCAAGTATTTTACTTTGTGATTTCGACGCAGGAGCTGCGCCGGGATGTGGAGGGCATACAAAGCCTAACTCCACAGCTCGAGGATCCGGAACGATCCCTTGATCCGTCCTCCGAAGAGGATCCAGACATAAAGGTGGAGCTGATTGACGGGGTGTTCCACCAACTTAGCATGGACAATGCTCCAGTCGCCATTACGGCTGACTACCCCGGCTTGATTCCGGCCTCCCAGGTGACTACGACCGAGGTCTTGACACCATCATTTGATCCGTGCTCAATTCTGACCATCCTATACTGATGGTACATCGCAGGAGGTGCCTTTAAGGCGAGAAGCCGAACCTGCGGTGGCTGACCAGCAAGGGTCAGTTCGGCCCAGCAGGCGGAAAACGAGTGCGGCGCAAATCGAAACGTCACTGCAACGGTACAGCACATCATTGCTTTTAAGGGAAGGATCCCTATGAGGTATATTAACGCTCATAACTCTTTCCAGGAGGAAGAGCGCTCGCCGGACAGTGTCCGGAGAGGTTGCCAATCAAGCCTCCGCCAGCCATGCTCCATCGCGTGGCCCGGAAGTGGAGGCGAACGCAAGGCAAGAGTCGGATGCTCCTCTGACAGAGGATGCCGACAGGCTGTCCGCCAACCGGTCTGAGGTGGAGAGCGCCATGAATCACAGGTGTCGCCGGACAGTTCTTCGTGACGTGTGTTTCTCCCCGGAGGCGTTGAATGCCTTTGATGCGGGAAACGCGCACCTCCGTGCTGCTCAAGATGGTTTAACCAGAGCCACGGAGCAGTATGTGAAGGACATACGGGTAAGTAATTTTAATAGTTATATATGCTTGTAGCCCCCGAGACTTAAAATAGTTAAAACAACTGATTTAAGGATCATTTATTATGCAGGATCTTACAGAGAAGAATACCCACCTGTCCCAGGAGCTCCAAGAGTGCAAGGCCCAACTTGAGGCCGCACTAGCCTCCTCAGGGGGAGCCACAGAGACCCCCGCTGGTAATACGTTCTTCGAAAAGATAAGTAGTTAACAAAGTGCGGCATGTGCATAAATCTGACAATAATATTGCAGAGGGCGCCGGACTAGATCCGGACAAGCAACAACTACTGCGTCAGCTAAAGGCCGGCGAGAGGGTGCTTATGAAGGTGCAGCAGGAGAGAAACAAGCTCCAAGATGCCCACACCCAGCTAGGAGAAGAGCTGAAAGGTGTTCGGGCCCAGCTGTCTGGCTCCGTGAAGGAGAATCAGCGGCTTCGTTGCGGCATTTATAGTAAGTTCTTGAGCAAATTCCTTTGAAAAGAAGAATTCGGCGAGGAAGTCGATTGACAGAAATGTGTCTTTAGGTGTGCTCACAGGTCGCCCTGCGGAGGAAATGCCTGGTTCAACGGGTGACCAACTTCCTGAGCTGGTTCAATTGCTCGAACGTGTCCGGCAGGCGATGAGTGGCGTCGTTCAGGCTTTATGGCCTTCCGTCTCCCTACCCGAGGGCCTTGGAGAGCTTGCTGAGAAGCTTCAGGGAGCACGGCGATGCCTCCGTCTGTGGAAAATATCGGCTTGCCGTCAGGGCCCCAGGGAGGCCTGGGCCATGGTGAAGACGCGGTACCCGAAGGCTGACCCAAACCACATGGCCGAGGTCGGACCTGCGGGGCCTGATGGGAAGGAGATCCCTGTGAGCTTGATGTACGGCCAAGTAGAACTGGCCGCGAAATATTCCCAACAGGACTGTAAATTAGACAGCCTATTAGATGGGATTGAAGAGGAGTACAATCAGTCAGTTTGACGATGTAATTTGAAATGACATGTAAAATGCCTTCTAGCTGGATTGTAGATCGTTTGTCTTTGCGGACCTTTTCGCTTCCACCTTCGGACCCAAAAGTCCGGAGTGTGTCCGAATACCCTTACGGTTATAGAAGAACCGGGGCATGCGTGGAGACAAGGCATCGGGGTCATAATTGCTTTATCAAACAAGTGCCCAACTAGCTATGTTATATTACATGGTTAGTAAGAAACATCTTCCAGGGAGAATAGTTCCGTTAAGGGTTCCTTTCCCTGGGAAGCATGCCCTAAAGTGCATGTTCGGACTGCGAAAATAGCAGAAAAGCATCTGGGGGCAAATAAATAAGTAAGTAATAAATCATCTTTCAAGTCACCGACCGAATATTCTCTTAAGAACGCTAGCTTTCGGCTTCACCCAGTCTGAGGTACACATCCGGCTGACCCGGCAGTAACAATCGCAGAGGTGCTCCCTTTACCTCCTAGCCGAA